CTCTGGGCCTGGGTGCTGTCCCTCAGCTCTTCAGCTCAAGGCTAGCACTCTACCACTTGAGCCACAGCGCCAATTCTGGCTTTTTTTTTCTTTTTGCTTATGTGGTGCTGAGGAATTGAACTCAGGGCCTCATGCATGCAAGGCAAGTGCTCTACCACTGAGCCACCTTCCCAGCCCCTTGCTTGGCTTTTTTGTTTAAGGCTGGTGCTCTACCACTCAAGCCACAGCTCCATTTCTGACATTTTGCTGGTTAATTGGAGATAAGAGTCTCATGAACTTTTCTGCCCAGGCTGGATTTGAACCTCAGATCTCTTAGTAAAGAATAAGAGTAGACTGAAATATGAGTATGTTGAAAGCACTACCAGCATTTCATTAACACCTAAGCTATACTACCTGTACTCAGGCATGCCTCTCCCTTGCCCCTGTGTCCTGGGGCTTGAACTCCATCCAGGCTTGGGCACTGTCCCTGAGCCTATGCTCAAGGCTAGCGCTCTACCACTTGAGCCACAGCACCACTTCTGGCTTTTTCTGAGTAGTTCATTGGAGACAAGATTCTCATGGACTCCATGGACTTTTCTGCCTGTGCTGGCTTCATACCTTGATCCTCAGATCTCAGTCTCCTGAGTAGCTGGGAGACATCTCTTGGATGTGAGGGGTTAGTGGGAGGAGGGTGGGAAAGGGGAGGGCACAGTGGGGGGACACAGCATCACATTTGGTGTGTGTATGAACATGAACGCAGGACACTTGCTGTGGCTGATGGGGAGGGCGAGGTGCCAGGGGACAGCGATGGACATCGATGGACCCCATTATGCGCCAATTTAGAATACATAGCTCTGGAAACAGTGCTTAGTAGAGATATGCATGCTAAGCACTCACTATCTTTTGATGATAGACAGCAGCTGTGGGGCTGAGTTAGCTCTAAAATGGGAAATTCTAATTTCACCCTGTGGGGGGAAAAGCGTTTGAGTGGACTTGCAGGCTCTTCCATGACACAGCCTTCATGCTCGGCTCTCTCCCAGGCAAAGTGGGGGTCTGCATGACTGACATCACCCCTCACGGTGTGGCTATGAAAGCAGGAGTCCTGGCCAATGACTACCTGATCGAAGTGAATGGAGAGAATGTAGAGAAGGCCAGTCATGAGGAAGTGGTGGAGAAGGTAAGCAGACCCTAGGGGCGCTGTGCCTGCCCTTGCTGCTCAAGTCATAGAACTGGTGGGCAGGGCATGGGATGGACTGAAGATGAGTCCCATGACCTGGTTCTTCATATTAAGAGAGCTCGGCTGGCAGCATTTGCTGCTGTCACAGTTGCTGGTTCATACCAGTCATCCTAGCTACTCAGGAGGCTGAGATCTGAGGATCACAGTTCAAAGCTAGCCTGTGTAGGAAAGTCTGTGAGAGTCTTATCTCCAAATGAACCAGTAAAATGCCAGAAGTGGAGCTGTGGCTCACATGGTAGAGCACCAACCTTGAGGGTAAAAAGTCAAGCAAGAAGATGAGGCCACGAGTTCAAGTCCCACTGTGGGCACACACATGAAAAAAGGAAAACCAACCATAGAGAAGTGAAGATAAATGACCAGTTCAGCTCAGCCATGCAGCCCCTGCTTCCTGGGACTGAGGCAAGAGACAGCCCCAGCCACGTCTGTGGGGTCTAGGTGGCTTCTCACTTATCTATGTGTGTGTTGTAGGTGAAGAAGGCCGGAGGCCGCATCGCCTTCTTGCTTGTGGACCAGGACACATACAAGCGCCACAGTGAACAGAAGATGCCATTCCACAGGGATGCCGCCAGCCTGGAGCTGCTGCCCCAGCAGCCGCGTGTGGTGGAGATGAAGAGAGGGAGCAACGGCTACGGCTTCTACCTGAGAGCAGGCCCTGAACACAAAGGTGAGACATGAGAGGGCCCCGTGGACTCCAGCCCCCTGCCCCCATGCACACTAGAACCACCACACAGAACCAGGAAGCACACACAACTCCGCTTCTATGCCACATGCAGCACTGGAAGCCAAGGTGGTTCTTTGTATTTGTTTGTGCTGGTCCTGGGGCTTGAACTCAGGGCCTCACAGTGTCATCAGCTTTTTTTGCTAGAGGCTAGTACTCTACCACCTGAATCACAGCTCTACTTCTAGCTTTTTTTTTTCTGCTTATGTGGTGCTGAGGAATCGAACCCAGGGCCTCAGGCATGCAAGGCAAGCACTCTACCACTGAGCCACCTTCCCAGCCCTACTTCTAGCTTTTTGATGGTTAATCAGAGATAAAGCCCATGGACTTTCCCGCCTGGGCTAGCTTCAAATTGTGATCCTCAGATCTTCGCCTCCTGAGTAGCTGGGATTGCAGGTGTAAGCCACTAGCTCGCAACTTTGTATTCAGCATGCCTTTTCTATTCACCAGAGCTTTGGGCTCCAGCAGAGATCCCCGTTTATTTGCTTAGGGTCTTTTCTGATTTTTTTTTTTTGTCTGTGTGCGGGGGGAGGGTAGGTCAGATCATCAAGGACATAGATTCTGGAAGTCCAGCAGAGGCGGCTGGCTTGAAGAAGAATGACCTGGTGGTGGCAGTGAATGGTCAGTGTGTGGAAGGCTTGGATCATGATAGCGTGGTGGAGATGATTAGAAAGGGCGGCGAGCAGACCTCACTGCTGGTGGTGGACAAGGACACAGACAGCATGTACAGACTGGTAAGCAGCACAAGGCCAAGAAGTCCTACAGCGCCGGCGAGCCCAGCTAGTTATGCCCTCAGACTTCAGGCTGTTCTAACTTAGTTCTCCAAATAGGAAGGGGTTGGAATGCAGGGCATGAAGGCTGAGCTGAGGCTCACAGGGATACTCAGAAGAGTGCGCTAAGTGGTTACTGAGATTTAAATCCTCAGACTGGTGAGTGTGATTTTGAAAGGATTCATTTTTTTTTTTGTCGGTCGTGGGGCTTGAACTCTGGGCCTGGGCGCTGTCCCTCAGTTCTTCAGCTCAAGGTGAGTGCTCTACCACTTGAGCTACAGCGCCACTTCCGGTTTTCTAGTGGTTTATTGGAGATAAGAGTCTCACAGACTTTCCTGCCAGGGCTGACTTTGAAATGTGATCCTCAGATCTCAGCCTCCTGAGTAGCTAGGATTACAGGCGTGAGCCAGCAATGCCTGACAAGGATTCAATTTTTGTATGTGTGTTTGTACTGGGGCTTGAACTTGGGGGCTCATGCTGTCACTTGGCTTTTTTTGCTCAAGACTGGTACTTACCACTAGAGACATGCCTCCACTCCCCAGAATTTTTTTTTTTTTGCCAGTCCTGGGGCTTGAACTCAGGGCCTGGGCTGCTTTGTCCCTGAGCCTCTCTCTGCTCAAGGCTAGCGCTCTCCCACTTGAGCCACAGCACCACTTCCAGCTTTTTCTGTGTGGTATTAAGGAATGGAACGCAAGGCTTCATGCATGCTAGGCAAGCACTCTACCACTAAGCCACCTTCCCAGCCCTGCCCAGAATTCTTTACTAGCTTACTTCATGCATACAGAGCCCTCTAACTAGCTTCTATCTCTTATTCCTGGTTGGGGTAGAAGAGAAATTTGACAGCCTGCCATCAGACATATGTGGGTGTGTGGAACACATATGCCACCCTGCCTATTCAACCAGCACCTTTCATCGAGTGTTCTGTTGTCCCCTTTGATGTTCAAAAGGCTCGATTTTCTCCGTTTCTCTACTACAAAAGTCAAGAACTGCCCAATGGCTCCGCCCCAGCTCCGCCCTCTGCTCCTCCTAATGTGTCAAGTCCAGCTCCGCCCTCTGCTCCTCTGAACGAGCCAAGTCCAGAAACGACAGAGGAAGAAGATCCTAAACCGAGACTCTGCAGGCTGGTGAAGGGGGACAATGGCTATGGCTTTCACTTAAATGCGATTCGGGGTGTGCCTGGCTCCTTCATCAAAGAGGTACGTTCATCTGGCTCCTGCAGCCCAGCTAGGAGAGGCTCAACTCCCTCGCCCATTGACTGCTTAATAGAAAGGCCACACTGGAGGCCCAGGCCACGGGGTCCAGACATGCTCAGTCCTATACACTTTCCAGCCAGGGTGTGGGAAGACCAAGCCTTTTCTTCCCCAAGTTGTTCCTCTGAGGCCTTCAGATTGAACTCGGTGACAATCACCCCCGATCGAAGGTTGTTTACTTGTTGCGTTTGGCGTAATGCCTCTATCTGGCAGGTGGATAGAAGATGGGTCATTCCTGTAGTGCTCAGTTTGGGGTTCCAAAAGGGGATCCGAGATCTGAAGACAGAGCGTGACATGCAGCCAGCCGGTGACATGGTTCGTGTGATCATGGCAGCTGGCGCTCTCAGAAGTAGAAAAGCATTCGAGAGTCCTTAACCTCTGTGCCTCAGCGAGAAATAATAGTTGAAAATTAACTTTTTTTTTTTGCCAGTCCTGGGGCTTGAACTCAGGGCCAAGGCCTTTTGCTCACTCAAGGCTAGCACTCTACCACTAGAGCCACAGCACCACTTCCAGCTTTTTCTGTGTATGTGGTCCTGAGGAATGGAATCCAGGGCTTCATGCATGCTGGGCAAGCACTGTACCACTAAGCCACCTTCCCAGCCCAAGAATGAACTGTTAACCTGTGCTGGGGGCTCACATCTGTAGTCCTACAGGAGGCAGATCTGAGGATCACGGTTCCAAACCAGCTCAGGCCAACAAAGTCCATGAGACTCTTACCTCCACAATTAAGCAGCAAAAAACCAGAAGTGGCGGTGTGACACACAAAAAAAGGATTCAATTCTGAACTCCCTCTCCCCCACCGGAAAGGGAGCTAATCAGACACGCCTTTCCCCTGTTTGGAAGTGACACCCCAGATCCTCTGCCCCTAGGTACAGGAAGGAGGCCCCGCGGCCCTGGCGGGGCTGGAGGACGGCGATGTCATCGTGGAGGTGGATGGGGAGAATGTGCTGGATGCGCCCTATGAGACGGTGGTGGACAGGATCCAGAGCAGTGGGAAGGACGTGACACTCCTGGTCTGTGCGCAGAAGGCCTACAGTTACTTCCAAGCAAAGAAGATCCCTATCGTCTCCTCCATGGCCGACCCGCTGGACGCCCAGCCTGATGCCCAGGCGGAAGTACCGACGGAGCCAGAGCCTGGCTTATGCGGGGCGAGAGAGCGAGTGAGTGGCCGTCACTGGCCTTTGGTCAGCTAGAGCAGAGCAGAGCACGCTGGCAGTGTGTTGCACATACCTGTGGCTACCAGGTTTTCTAAAATATTAGGAAACAATGAATATAGATAACCAACACAGAGAAAAGGTAGTCTAAGGGCATTTTCTTTTCTTGATACTGGTACTGGGGCTTGAACTCAGGGCCTTTTAATCTTGCATGGCCCTTTGGCTGAAGGCTGGCACTATACCACTTGACCAACACCTCCACTTGTGGCTTTTCTCATGGACTTTCCTGACCAGGCAGACTTCCAATCTGATGCTCAGATCTCAGCCTCCTGAGTAGTTAGGACAACAGGCAGGAGCCACCAGTTCCCTGTAAAGGACAAGTTTCTTATTTTCATAACATGCTGTGAGACCGCCACAAGAGGCTGAATCAGTCTTCCACAAGAAGCTGAATCAGTCTTCCTGTTTCCAAATTCTGGTTGTGACACTGATCAGTTTCTTACCTAGAAAAGAGGGATAATTTGGAGGACTGTTATCAGAATTATATTGGATGATTAAAATGCTAAAACAGTATCCGCCTCCTTGGGTATAAACTAGAGGTTATTAAGGACAGGCATTATAGCCTTTTTAAATTTAATTTTATTTTTTTGGTCAGTCATGGGGCCTGAACTCTGGGCCTGGGCACTGTCCCTCAGCTCTTCAGCTCAAGGCTAGTGCTCTACCACTTGAGCCACAGCACCACTTCCGGCTGTTTATGTAGTGCTGAGGAATCAAACCCAGGGCCTCATGCATGCAAAGCAAGCACTCACTCTACCACTGAACTACCTTCCCAGCCTGCATTATAGCCTTATGAGGACAGATGAAGCGTTTTCTTGTATATATTGGATTATACGTTTTTATTTTTTGGTGTCATGTCTAGGCCAGCATCCTATTATTTGATCCATGCCACTAGTCCAAATAAATTTTTTCGTGAGTCTGTTTTATTTATTTTTGTCCAATTTTTCATATATAAACTTGGGGTCCAAGTTCGTAAAGGAAACAATGTCCAGAGTCTACAAGTTTCAGTATGCTCTTTCTTACCTTTATATTATACTGATTGGTGGTATGAAGAGGTAATCTAATGAATACACAAAATGGTCCTTACCTTGTATTCTGGAAAGCTTAACACAAAGTATTCTCATTGTTTTAAAAACAAAAAATCTACTACTACTCAAGTTGGGCACTGGTGTAGTCCTAACTCTGCAGGAGGCTGAGATCTGTGGATCTCACTTGGAAGCTGGCCTGAGGAGACACACCTGTGAAACTCTTATCTCCAATTAACCAGCATAAAGGCTTGAAATCAGGGGAGTGGCTCAAATGGTAGACAGCCAGCCTTGAGTGAAACAGCCAAGCAAGATCATAAGGTAATGCCCCAGTACTGGTACAAAAAAAGAAATTAAATCAAACTACAACTTCTTTATTGGAGGTCAAATATGAAACTAAAGCCAGATGTAGGTAGCTCACACCTGTAATCTCAGCTACTCAGGAGACTGAGATCTAAGGATTGCAGTTAGAAGCCCAGGCAGGAGAGTCTGTGAGACTCTTATCACCAATTAACTACCAAAAGCCAGAGTGGAGCTGTGGCTCAAGTGGGAGAGTGATAGCCTTGAGCAAAAAAACTCAGGGACAGTGCTCAGGCTCTGAGTTCAAGCCTTAGGACTGGCACACACAGACAAAACCAAAACCAAATAGAAAACTTATAGAATATGATAGAAAAGAAAAAGTACTTTCCATATATATGATATACATGCGTGCGCACACACACACATACACACACACACTCACACTCCTAACAGCCTGTTTTCTCCTGCACAGGCCCAGAGCACAACCTCACATTTGTCTTCCCAGTCTGAAGATACAGAGATGTGAAGAGAATGAGCAACGGCTTTGGCTGGTACGGTTCCTGTGAAATACCTAGAAACTGCTTTCTCAGGACATGAGCCACCACCAGCTCGCTGTCCATGAGAGAACATTGGAAACCACCATGCGTGGCTGCCTTGTGCTTTCCTCTCCTGGCAGGCTGGTTTATTTATGGTCATCTTTGGAAGGCTGAAGGCAGGAGCCAGATCCTTTTTATGTGAAATCTTCCAAACTTTGGCTTTACATTTCCGTTTGATGATACTTCTTTCTTCTGTAGATTCTTTCAGCATCAAAGATGATTTATATCTGTATGTTAAAGTATTTGAGCAGATGGTACTATTGAAATTGTAACAGTGTTAAGATTGCCATAATAAATAGCATGAAAATGCCTTTTGAACTGCTCACACTTTCTGGTTGGCTTGTGTAACTTCACTAATACTTTTAGAGAAACTTTTTTTGGTGCTGGTACTGTGGCTTGAACTCAAGGGCCTTCGTTTTTCACTCAGGGATGGTGCTCTACTACTTGAGCCACAGCTCAGCTTCTAGCTTTTGGCTGGTTAATTGAAGATAAATAAGAAGCTCACAAACCTTTCTGCCTGAGCTGGCTTTGAACTGCGAGCCTCAGATCTCAGCCTCCTGAGTTGCTAGGATGACAGGCATGAACTACCAACGCCAGGCTACTGAATAACATTTTTATGCTTTAATCTTCATTTGCTTTCTAGAATCCTGGACATGATACAGGAATAACATCTTAGTACTAAAGAGATTTCTAGGTAATAAAATCCAATTCCCGTAAATTGCATTTGAGTAGTCTAAAAACTTTCCAACAGGGCTGGGAAGGTGGCTCAGTGGTAGAGTGCTTGCCTTGCATGCATGAGGCCCTGGGTTCGATTCCTCAGCACCACATAAGCAAAAAGAAGCTGAAAGTGGCGCTGTGGCTCAAGCGGAAGAGCACTAGTCTTGAGCTGAAGAGCTGAGGGACAGCGCCCAGGCCCAGAGTTCAGGCCCATGACCGGACCCAAAACAAACAAAAAACAAAACTTTCCAACAACTCCTTTTACAGCTGAAGAATAGGAAAGTGTCTTATTCCAGTGAAATATAGTCAATTTATCCCAAAGCTAAAGGGGTGGATAGGAAGGAACCATAAGAGATCAACACTGACTTACAATTATACTAAAAGAAAATCAAGCTGAGCATGAGTGGCCCATGACTGTAATCCTAGTTACTCAAGAGGCTGATATCTGAGGCTGGAAGTTCAAAGCCAGCCTGGGAAGAAATGTGCAACAGACTTTTTTTTTTTTGCCAGTATTGGGGCTTGAACTCAGGGCCTGGGCACTGTTCCTGGGCTTCTTTTGCTCAAGGCTAGCACTCTACCACTTGAGCTGAGCCACAGCACTACTCCTGGCTTTTCTGTTTATGTGGTACTGAGGAATGGAACCCAGGGCTTCATGCATGCTAGGTACTCTACCACTAAGCCAACATTCCTAGTCTTCCAAGAGACTCATCTCCAATTAAAAAGCAGAGGAGAAGTGTGGCCTAAGTGCCAGTGCACCAGCTTTGAGAGAAAAGAAGCTAAGGGTCAGCGCCCAAACCCTGAGTTCAAGCCCTAGCAGTGCTGAGGCACACAGACAAATAAACAAAAATTTAAAAGGTCATACCTAAAGTCTCTGGTAAAACTGATTTCATTTTCCATCATTCCTTCCTCAGAAAATAGACAACCTCAGGGTGATTTCAGTGGGCAGGGAAGAGAGCCACCTACTCATGTTAGGTCACAGAAGCAGAAAACCAAGCTATGCTTGATAAAGCCAACCTCAAGCCAAAGTGTTACAATGTCAGACTTTAATGACAGTCAACCTCAAGGGAATGCCAAGACCCTGCTGCGCGGGAAGCTAGACTTACAGAACATCAGGCATTTGTGGCCACATTTCCTGTCCTAGAGTTCCAGTGTACTTTCACTCCCTGTGTGCTGTCTGCACCTGGCCCCGGTCTTGATCCACACGAGAGGCTGTCTCTACCAAGGACTGCCCTGAGTTTCCTCCTCTCTCAGGTCCCAGCTGATGCCCTGGCAATCCCAGCATCATCCGAGGAGGAAGACTGATGCTGGAGGGAGAAGAGGCTTCCAGAGCATTTTACTTAAAAAAAAAAAAAAATCAGGCCCCAGCTTCCATTGTTTTTCTGCTTTTCCCCCCCAAATTCTGACAGCACTGGCTTTCACGGTGCCATGTGCTTCTCGGGCGCCTGCTTGTGAGCTAGGTAGAGGAAGAGCATGCTGGAGAGCGCGCTGACCAGGAAGATCACGTCAAACCAGCGGTGGTAGAAGTTGAACTGCAGTTCTCCCAGGACCTCGGTGATGATGGTGCGGTACTCCAGGGGCATGCTCATCCGGATGAGCAGCACTGAGGACACGAAGTACATGCCCTGCAGGCCAAAGCAGACGTCACCGGTGACTTTGAGAATAGGGAGGGGCTGCCCTGAGGAAACATACATTGCTGAGGCCTCCAGCGGCAAAGGCCTGTGAGTCTAGCTACTCAGAAGGCTGAGATCTGAGGATCAAGGTTCAAAGCCAGCCTGAGTATGAGACGCTTATCTCCAATTAACCAACCAAAAGACCAGAAATGAAGGTGTGGGTCAAGTGGCAGAGCACAAAAGCTGAAGGACAGTGCCAGGCCGAGTTCAAGCCTCAGGACTGGCACAAAGAAAAAGAAAAAAAATTGTGATATTTATAGTTGCAAACATAAAGCAAGTTCAATAAACTTACCATTATCTGTGCTAAGAGCAGGACGATGACATTGGAGGACTTGCTGCTAGAGATGGCATAAAAGAACTGTCAAGAAAGAGAAGAGAGCAACTTAGAGTGCACTGCTAGATTCATATATCATAAGCAATAGTTCACATGGCTAATCTTCCATTGAAAGTGTCTCTTCTCACGGGCACCAGTAGCCCATGTCTGTAATCCAAGCTACTCAAGGAGCTGAGATGTAGGATCATAAGTTAGAGGCAAGCTAGGGCAGGAAAACTCATGAGTCTCTCATCTCCAATTAACCACCAAAAAGCTGGAAGTGGAGCATTGGATCAGGTGGTAGAAAATAGCTTTGAGCCAAAAAGCTCAGGGACAGCACCCAGGCACCGAGTTCAAGCCCCAGTACTGGCACCAATTTGAAAAAAAAAAGCGTCTCTTCCATGCTCTAGCCCTGTCTATGACCATTTAGATGTTAAAGCTATTGGAAAATTGAGTTAAGGCCAGGCACCGGGGTTCATGCCTATAATCCTAGCTATTAGGTCGAGATCTGAGGATCCAGGTTCAAAGGTAGCCTGGGTAGGAAACTCCGTGAGACTCTTATCGCCAATAAACCACCAGAAAACTGGAAGTGGTGTTGTGGCTCAGGTGGTAAGAGTGCTAGCCTTGAGCTGAAGAGTGCTCAGGGACAGGCTAGAGTTCAAGACCCACGACCGACCAAAAAAAAAAAAAATCGAGTTAAAATAGACTACTGAGGTTAATTTCCTCCTTGAGATGCTGGCTTAAAGTACTATTGCATAAGAAGGTATTCCTATACTATTAAAATTCAGAAGTTCTTTGGTGCAGATGACCATAACAATGTAACTACAAACATTAGAACACCTAACTCCAGGCCATTTCTGGCATTTGTAATGGTTAAAAGGCTCCTGAACTCTTTCTAATCAGTTTTATGTCTTAATTCCCTTCCTGTCCCAATCCTCCACCTTTCATTCAAACAATGCTCTGACTGTGCGATTCTTACACCTTCATGAAGTCCTCGTATGTTGGTCAGAAAACAACCAAATATTCTTCTCTTCTCTCCTCTCTGCTCCCTTCCTCTTGAACTCAGGGCTTGAACTCAGGGTCTTGACCTCTGGCTTAGTTGGCTTTTTTTGCCCATGTCTGGTGCTTTAGCACTTGAGCTATGCCTCCAGTTTGGCTGTCTTTTTGGGCTAGTTAATTAAAGTTCAGTGGATTTTGCTGGTTAGAGATCTGCTGATTAATTGGACTTTTCTGCCTGGGCTGGCTTCGAATCAGAATCCTCTGATCTCAACTTCTTTAGTAGCTAGGATTATAAGTGTGAGGCCACTGGCATCCAGCTCCATATTTTATTTACAGATGAGAATCACAATTCTTCTAATTGCACTATCTATCGCATTTATTGTTTGCTAAATGACTATTTGCCAAGATTCTTTTATTTTGTGCTGATCCTGGGGCTTGAATTCAGGGTCTGGATGCTGCCCCTGAGCTTTTGTGCTCAAGGCTAGTGCTCTACCACTTTAAGCCACAGTTCCATTTCCATCATTTTGGTAGTTAACTGGAGATAATAGTCTCACGGACTTTCCTTCCTAGGCTGGCTTTGAACCAGGTTCAGATCCTCAGATCTCAGCCTAAGTAGCTAAGATTACACAAGGCATGAGCTACTGGCACCTGGCTTATGTGCCAAGTTCTACTATAGATGACATTGACCAATCAATGGACAAAAGTTCCTTATCCATGACCATTGATACTTATTTGTGATTGGTGTAGGAAGTCACACATCTCCAATAATTTACACAGCAGCTGGACATTAATTTTTTCCTATGTCTTCAAAGTACTAATGATTGTTAAGATTTCAGAAGCAAGAATCCTAATGAGGTGGTACCTTGGTGAGTGTGATAAGTAATCCTCTGATGGACGTGACAATGATAATCCCAACCAGAATGAAGGAAATGTGCTGGGACCAGAACTTCACCTGCCGGAACACCAGGAAGAAACTGTTAATTCCCTGCTCAAAGGCAGGACAGCGAACCCGTGCCTGCTCATTTATGCATCTGTGAGAGGGAGCTGGATTCTGTTCTTTCCTTTGGGCTGATCTGGGCTTTGATCTCAGGGCCTTGCACTTGCTCGACATTCTACTTTTATCACTTGAGTCATGCCTCCAGCCCTACTCTTTTGCGGATTATTATTATTGTTTTTGTTGGTCCTGGGGCTTGAACTTGGGGCCTCGGCCCTGTCCTTGAGCCACAGTGCCACTTCCTGTTTTCTGGTGGTTAATTGAAGAGTCTTATGGACTTCCTTTTTTTTTTTTTTGGGTCCAGTCGTGGGGCCTGAACTCTGGGCCTGGGCGCTGTCCCTCAGCTCTTCAGCTCAAGGCTAGCGCTCTACCACTTGAGCCATAGCACCA